TTTTTTGTGGCCAGCTCAGCCCACCATGGGGGCAGGGCTAACATGGTATGCAGTGCTGGGGACTGAACTGCGGTCCCTATGCACTTGCCTAAGCTTGCCTAAGCAGATGCTTTAGACCACTGAGCTATCTCACTGGCCCCTCTTAATTATATTTTATAACTTTGTTGATGAGTATATTAACATTTTTCTTCCACCAGAAAGTTCATTTTAACACAGACTTTAAGACACTAAAACACGTTCATGGGCCCTTTGTGAGGGAATGCCTTATAAGCCCCAGACACTGTGCCTACTTTTCTAAAGGAGAAGTTGGTCCTGAATGAGTGAGTGGATGTTTATTTCCTTGTGGTTTCACCATAGAGATCTTTGACTTGAGGGAAAAAACTACACAAGAGGCTCTCCCATATCTTAGAGTGAGTCTATTGTGTAGCTCTCATTTCTAAGAAGGCAGGTAAAGTTTCCTTCCTTCTGTTTCTTCATATTTGAAAGTCCTGATCCTGGGCTATCCTGATCATGTACTATTTTGTGCAGACTAGAAAAAGACTTCTCATTTTTTTTTTTTTTTTTTTTTATTTTTTTTAGGGAAGTGTCTACAGGGTGTTCAGGGTCTCGCTGCTAGATTGGTCTCATAGTGATTCACCTGTTTACGGCCTCCCAAGAGCTGGGATTACAGGCATGCGCTACCACACTCAGTCTCAACTGCCGTCTCAGTGCACCCTGGAGGCAGGGTCGGCATGGCAGGCCCGGGTATTGAACCCCCGGCTCCTGTGTCGGCTTACAGGCACTTTAATCCTCTGAGCTATTTGGCTGGCCCTAAGACTTCTTATCTTCATGAAGAAGAAAAAGGTCATTAGGGGTTGGAATTATCCCTGGATGTCATAGCAGGGCTGGGAGGCGACACTAACCCCTGACCTCCAGTTTGGGCAACCCAAGGGTGGTCCCAGCAGCCAGGCTTCATTCTAAGTCTGTGACCAAAGAACTCAAGCCTGTTAGGACTTAGGCAATGTGTCTAAAGGAGGTGGGAGGCCACAAAGCACAGCTGTACACGTGTGTCCCCATGTGCCGTGCACACTTTCTTTCCTCGGCAAGAGCTTGGGGATGCGGGCCAGTGTGGCCCTCCTACTGCTCCTGGATTCCACCAGGAGCCCAAGGATCTCCAGGCAAGTGAGCATGGGGGCATATGAGAGACACCCTCCCTGGAACCCCATGTGCAGGCCACAGTCTGCAGCTGCATGTGCAACCCCTCCCACGTCCCCTCAGGACTGGAAGGTCCACCCTCACACTTACCGACTCTCCTCTCTGCAGGGATGACGTGCCAGGCTCGGAGTTCCTACATTACCAGTGAGATCCTCTGGGGGTACCGCTTCACCCCAGTCCTGACGCTGGAGGATGGCTTCTATGAGGTCGACTACAACAGCTTCCACGAGACCTATGAGACCAGCACCCCGTCCCTTAGTGCCAAAGAGCTGGCCGAGCTGGCTAGCCGGGCGGAGCTGCCCCTCAGCTGGTCTGTGTCCAGCAAGCTCAACCAGCATGCAGAACTGGAGACGGAGGAGGAAGAGAAGAACCCCGAGGAACAAACAGAAAGGAACGGTGATGTGGCAAACCTGGAGAATGAATCCAAAGTGTAGAGCCCTGGCTGGGCGTGCTCTTCTAGCAGCCTCCGCCCCCAACACAGCCTCTCCTCTTCTCATTCTTTTTTGTTTGTCTCTCATACTTTGTGTTTTATTTCCTTATATTTGATTTTTACATTGTCAGAAAACAAATCTTCAAGGTGTAAAATATCTACCTGCCCCCTCTCAGTTGTGCAGATTGACAAGGTAGATGTGGATTGGGTCAAAAATGCCATGTGCCCTCTTTTGTGGCTCAAGCCTGGTCTCCTCCCAAAATACCAACTTTCACTTCTAGGGATAGCAACTACTCTTACCTGCATGTGTTGTATGATATGACACCACCCAAAAGAGGGCACCAAAGCTTTTACCAGTGGTGTGATACGTAAGGTCTCTGGTGCCTATTTATCACAAAGTAAGCAGCAATGTGACCTCAGTGTTTTAGATCCCAACACATTTTGTCAACCCCAGAATGAGGTACTCCCTGCACAGTGCAGCAGGCTAAGACCCAGGTGAGCCCAAGACAAACCACTGTACATAGATATGCCTTATGTGATTATTTTCTTTTGGCAATTAGAAATAAAACCCAGCATGTACAAAAGTACTGTAGAACAGAACTTCTAAATAGTGTATATATGTATCATTAATGTAATTTTAGATACATAACTTTAGAAATAAGAAGAAAAAAAAAGATTCCCAGCATACAGTAGGCATTTCTGTTTTGAAGTCTGCATTTTCCACGTTATTTAGGGCATGGCCTTGGTTCTGGGTCTCTGCCCGGCAGTCTTTAGGGTACTTCTCTGTCCCTTGCTGATCCTTTTGTTAAATCTAATAAGCCATAGATCTGGTGGCAGTTGAGAGGTCTAGCAGATGGCAAGACACACCACCAACATGCTGACATACTGTGACATGTTTACAAAATAGGCATCGGTGTTTAAGATAAAAAGGGCCTCACTGACTTGCCTGGGGATAATGCCGTGACACTCTCTGGGATGTCACCAGAGTCAGGCTGATGCTCTTCACATGAGCTTGTGCCCTTCGGAATACAAGTGTTTTGGAGAGTTTTGTACAAAACCATTCATTCTCCAGCTGTTCCACCCTGTAATTATGAGAAACTGCAGACTGTTAAAAAGAGATACAGTAAGTTAGCAGAAGATGATCTGGATCTAGAGCCATGAACTTAAGGAAGGCATGTCGCAGGTGATAAATTGTACTCCTTGACCTCTCAAATGCTTTGACTCCACCTGGCACTCTGAAGATGAGATCTTGCCTGGGGACCTACTCATCAGCATTTCTTGGATTAGGATTTGTTTTCTTCTTCTTTATTTTTAATTTTAAATCACCAGAGTTCAGTGTTCAAAGAGTAGATCAATGATCTTGGTGACTGTCTAAGCATCTCTCTAAAATACATCACTATTTAAAAATCAAATCCAAAGTGTCTCTTGATCAAAACAAAAAGTGGTAGCCTTAATTCATTCTGATGTATGAAGGAAGACAGCAGGATGGAAGGAAAGAAAGAAGGAGGGAAGGAGGGAAGGAAGGAAGGAAGGAAGGAAGGAAGGAAGGAAGGAAGGAAGGAAGGAAGGAAGGAAAGAAGGA